TATCGCGCCTCTATCAGCCATTCAAGGCTCCAACACTCTGCGAGGGGAGTTGTCGCTCGTTGGCATCTTCCGCTCGTTCAGATGCTCCTTCTCCTGCTACTCCTCTTCACGGATTCCGTCAGCAGTCTTTCTTGGAATCCGTTTCCAAGAGACAACAGTTTGCGAGCACGCACCCGACGGTGCAAAAGCTGAACTCCTCCTGTCCAAGTTGCTGGTGCTGCAGTCCCTCCCTTTCCAAGTGGTGGACTCAGCACCTTTCCGAGAAATGATGGCTTGTGCCGAGCCGCGGTGGAGAGTGCCAAGCCGGCATTTCTTCGCCAAAAAGGCAGTGCCAGCCCTGCATTCACATGTAGAAGAGATGGTGGGCCAGTCTTTGAGCATGTCGGTCTCTGCCAAAGTGCACGGCAGCGCCGACGTGTGGAGCTGTAACTACGGTCAGGGACAGTACATGTCATTTACGGCCCACTGGGTGAACGTGGTGCCGGCACAGCCGCACCAGCAACTTGGACAGGTCACGCCGCTTTTGCCTCCACGTTTGCACGTCCTTGGTCCAGCAAAGATGTCCGCCTCTACCACCTCTTCTTTTCCGCCGTGTCCTCAGCCGCCACCCCCGTGCCAAGTCCCATTACCCGACCGGCATATCACATGTGCAGGGCGCAACGGTGTCACGCTGTGCTGCACCTGGTATGCCTTGGCGAACGTAGTCACACAGGGGAGGAACTTCTGAGTGTAATGAACAGAGAAATCGACAGATGGCTGTCTCCGCGCAAACTGAAAATCGGAACCATGTTGACCGACAACGGAAAGAACATGGTGTCTGCTCTGCGTCAAGGAAGGTTGTGCCATGCGCCATGCATGGCTCACGTGTTCAATCTGGTTGTCAAGCGGTTCCTAAAATCCACCATCCCACTGCAAGACATCCTTAAAATGTCACGTAAACTTTGCATGCATTTCAGCCATTCCTACACCGCAAAGCACACCCTCCTTGAGCTGCAGCGGCAGAACGGAATTCCACAGCATCGCCTGATCTGCGACGTTGCAACAAGGTGGAATTCAACCCTACATATGTTAGAGACCGCCTTTACGAACAGCGAAAGGCCATCACCGATTTCCTGATGTTACAAGCGGATAAAGGTACTCCCCTGTGTAACTTAGATGTCAGCCATTGGCAGCTCATGCGTGACACCTGCCGCTTGCTCAGGCCCTTTGAGGAGGCCACGCTATTCGTGAGTCGGCAGGACTATGGGATGAACGACGTCATTCCTCTGTTGCACGTCCTGGAACAAATGCTGTTAACAATGGCTGGTCTGGTCAGGGTGCGGTAGACGTGGCGCACAGATCTCAACGCCACATGACCCCTGTGGGGGCAGGACAGGAAGAAGAGGAGGAGGTAGAGGAGGACATTGGTGCTCAGGAATTATTGAGTGAAATGGGTGGTTTTTTCCACTCAGCGGACAGGAGTGGAGGAGCAGGAGCATCTGGTAGAGGAGGAGGAGGAGGAGACAGAGGACCCAGACGCACCGTGGCAGTATGCTGTGGAGATGGAGGCAGGGTCCCTCGCATTCCTTGGCACAAATGGCCCATAGCATGCTCGGTTGCTTGCGTAGCGACAGCCGAATAATAACCATCAGACAGAGGGATGACTTTTGGCTGTCCACCTTGTTGGACCCTCGCTACCGTTCAAAAATGGTGGCCTTTTTCACACCTGCTGAGAGGGAGGCCAAAATAACGTACTATAAAAACCACCTATGTAGTCAGTTGGTCTCTGCCTTTCTGCGCCAACGTCCATCCTCAGACACTGTGGGCCCTGTGCGCTCGCGTTCCGCTGCCATGGCAGCAGGGGAGGGGTGGGGTGGTAGGAGCAGTGGCAGCTCCACCAGCAGCGGCTGCCTCAGTCTGCAGTCGATGATGAGTAGCTTTCTTCACCAGCGCAGTGAGGAAACTACTAACCAGCCGCAGCAGCAGCAGCAGCAGCATCAGGTGGACCTGGAGCAGGACCTCAAACAACAGGCTGGGCCTACTTGGACAGCACCCTGCCAACCGAGGTAGACAATCCCCTTGACTACTGGGCAACGAAACTTGACCTTTGGCCCCAACTAGCTGAATTTGCCCTTGAAAGGCTGTCATGCCCGGCCAGTAGCGTGGCATCGGAGCGCGTGTTTAGTGCGGCAGGAGGTATTGTAACTCCGCGGAGGACACGACTGTCCACCCAAAGTGTGGAGAGACTCACGTTTGTGAAAATGAATCAGGCGTGGATTAGTCTGGATTTCAAACCACCAGTTCCTGACACAACTGACTAAATCCGCCATGAATCATGCCCCAAACATGTTATTATTTTTAAACATAGGCCTCTGTATGGCCTTCAATTTAAGCTGCTTACGCTTCGCCACTCTGCCATGGGCCCCTGTACCGCCTCCTCTTGCTGCTGCCAGGTCCAGAGTGTGTCATGGGTCCCCTGTACGGCCTCCCTCCTGCTGTCTGCATCCAGCGCCACACTCTGTCCCATGTGCCTCCCTTTCTGCTGTCTCCATCACTCCTCTCCACACTTTAGGTGCTCCTCACACTGCCTGGTGGGTTCCATTTTGTCATAGGGGCTGGCAGATTACGGGCCTCCCATTGCTGCTGCCAGGCCCGTAATCTGTCATGGGCCCCTGTACCGCCGCCTCCTCATGCTGCTGCCAGGTCCAGAGTGTGTCATGGGTCCCTGTACGGCCTCCCATTGCTGCTGTCTCCATCGCCACACTCTGCCATGTGCCACTTTCAGGTCTCCTCACACTGCTGGTGGGTTCCATTTTGTCATAGGGTGCTGGCAGATTACGGGCCTCCCATTGCTGCTGCCAGGCCCGTAATCTGCCATGGGCCCCCCTGTACCGCCTCCTCTCTCATGCTGCTGCCAGGTCCAGAGTGTCTCATGGGTCCCTGTACGGCCTCCCATTGCTGCTGTCTCCATCGCCACACTCTGCCATGTGCCACTTTCAGGTCTCCTCACACTGCTGGTGGGTTCCATTTTGTCATAGGGTGCTGGCAGATTACGGGCCTCCCATTGCTGCTGCCAGGCCCGTAATCTGCCATGGGCCCCCGTACCGACTCCTCATGCTGCTGCCAGGCCCGTAATCTGTCATGGGCCCCTGTACCGCCCTCCTCATGCCTCCTCATGCTGCTGCCAGGTCCAGAGTGTGTCATGGGTCCCTGTACGGCCTCCATTGCTGGCAGTTACGGGCCTCCCAGTGCTCTGTCTCCATCGCCACACTCTGCCATGTGCCACTGGCAGATTTCAGGTCTCCTCACACTGCTGGTGGGTTCCATTTTGTCATAGGGTGCTGCTGGCAGATTACGGGTCCCTGTCCCATTGCTGCTGCCAGGCCCGTAATCTGCCATGGGCCCCTTTCCGTCTCCTCATCACACTGCTGCCAGTTCCATTTTGTCATAGGGTGCTGGCAGATTACGGGCCTCCCTCATGCTGCTGCCAGGCCCGTAATCTGTCATGGGCCCCTGTACCGCCTCCTCATGCTGCTGCTGCCAGGTCCAGAGTGTCTCATGGGTCCCTGTACGGCCTCCCATTGCTGCTGTCTCCATCGCCACACTCTGCCATGTGCCACTTTCAGGTCTCCTCACACTGCTGGTGGGTTCCATTTTGTCATAGGGTGCTGGCAGATTACGGGCCTCCCATTGCTGCCAGGCCCGTGCTGCCATGGGCCCGTAATGCCTGCCCCCGTACCGCCTCCTCATGCTGCTGCGCAGGCCCGTCCGTAATCTGTCATGGGCCCCCTGTACCGCCTCCCGCCTCCTCATGGGCCCTGTACCCGCCTCCTCATGCTCAGGTCCAGAGTGTGTCATGGGTCCCTGTACGGCCTCCCATTGCTGCTGTCTCCATCGCCACACTCTGCCATGTGCCACTTTCAGGTCTCCTCACACTGCTGGTGGGTTCCATTTTGTCATAGGGTGCTGGCAGATTACGGGCCTCCCATTGCTGCTGCCAGGCCCGTAATCTGCCATGGGCCCCCGTACCGCCTCCTCATGCTGCTGCCAGGCCAGTAGGTCCCCCTGTACGGCCTGCCCAATTGCTGCTGTCTCCATCGCCGTCCAAGTGTGTCTGCCATGTGCCCACTTACATCGCCACTCTCTCAACTGCAGGTTCCTCACACTGCTGGTGGGTTCCATTTTGTCATAGGGTGCTAGGCAGATTACGGGCCTCACCCATTGCTGCTGCCAGGCCCGTAATCTGCCATGGGCCCCCGTACCGACTCCTCATGCTGCTGCCAGGCCCGTAATCTGTCATGGCCCCTGTACCGCCTCCTCATGCTGCTGCCAGGTCCAGAGTGTGTCATGGGTCCCTGTACGGCCTCCCATTGCTGCTGTCTCCATCGCACACACTCTGCCATGTGCCACTTTCAGGTCTCCTCACACTGCTGGTGGGTTCCATTTTGTCATAGGGTGCTGGCAGATTACGGGCCTCCCATTGCTGCTGCCAGGCCCATAATCTGCCATGGGCCCCCGTACCGACTCCTCATGCTGCTGCCAGGCCCGTAAGCTGTCATGGGCCCCTGTACTGCCTCCTCATGCTGCTGCCAGGTCCAGAGTGTGTCATGGGTCCCTGTACGGCCTCCCATTGCTGCTGTCTCCATCGCCCACACTCTGCCATGTGCCACTTTCAGGTCTCCTCACACACTGCTGGTGGGTTCCATTTTGTCATAGGATGCTGTATGGCCTCCCATTGCTGCTGCCTCCACTGCCACACTGTGGCTCCACACTCTGGTTTTGGCCCCGTGACTGCCCAAATGAGTGAAGTGTGCAGTGATTCTAAGATCGACGGCACTCATCTGCATGTCATACTGACTGACAGTATTATTTCTCTTCCCCAGCAGACTCCAAGGGCATTTAAATTAAAGGTACAGTGTTCTGCACTAATATAAAGGGTCTCTGAAGCTTAGAAACAGCCTTTTTATAAGTTAAATTCGCAGCGAATATATTCGGATCGAATCAAATTTTTTCGGCGAATTCGGCTAATCAGCCGAACCAAATTTTTGAATAATTCGCTCATCTCTAGCCGTAGCTTTTCTAAAAATAATTTCTGGTCTGTCTGGTAAAAACTGAGATAGGACAGGATCCCTTTTGAGTACTCCCCAATTTTTATTAATAATCCTACTAATAGCTCTGTACTGTGTCGAAAAGGTAGTAACAAAAGAACAAACATGGATCCATCCATTCCTTTCCTTATCTTTCAATATATCCACCCTCTTGGTCTCTGCTACAAAATCTATAGTTTCATTCAAGCTCTTTTCATTGTAATCTTTTTCAATAAATCTTTGTTTAAGGATCTGGGCTTCATTATGGGAGGGATCTATATCAGTACAGTTTCTTCTAATCCTTAAGAACTGGCCTTTGGGAATGTTTGCCAGCCATGATGGATGATGGCAACTTCGAATCGGTATAAAACTGTTACGGTCAGTTTTCTTGAAAAGAGACTGAGTAATGATCCTACCATTATGGTTCATCAGTGTGAGATCCAAGACATTTATTTGTTGCATACTATATTCATAAGAAAGATCTATGTTAAGATTGTTATAATTCAATGTTCCAAAAAAGTTTAAGAGAGCTTGTTCCTCTCCGTTCCATAAAAGGAAGATGTCATCTATATACCTCTTATAGAAAATTAGTTCAGGCCAATCCCTAGAAAATATTATTTCTTCTTCCCAGTGTGCCATGAATAAGTTTGCGAGACTGGGGGCAAATTTTGCCTCCATGGCTACACTTTTGGTCTGTAAGTAAAATTTCTTGTCGAACCAAAAGTAATTTTTACTCATGGCAAATTGTAGTAGTTTTAAAAAAAAATCAATCTGAATTGGTGGTAAAGTGCTCTGTGTGCTTAAATAAAATTCTGTTGCCTCTAGGCCATCTTTATGTGCAATATTACTATAACGTGACGCTACGTCAGTTGTCACTAGGAGGGTGTTAGGAGTTATGCAAATATCTTTAACCTCATTTAGAACCTGCTTAGTGTCACATAAATATGCAGGAGTAAGAGACACTAGAGGTTGTAAAAAAGTAATCGATAAATTCACCCACTTTGGAGCACAAGGATCATATCCCGCTCACTATTGGCCTTCCCAGGGGTTTAACCGAATCTTTGTGAATTTTCGGTAATATGTAAAAAACAGGTAATTTAGGTTCTGAGGGGCATATAAAGTTCTTCTCTTTTTTATTTATAACTCCATTTTCATAACCATTCTTAATGATATTCTTTAATTCACGCTTAAATGTCCATAACGGATCCTTTTATAATAACTTGTAGGTAGAACTGTCATTTAGTATATTATATACTTCTGCTATGTAGTCTTTTTTATTTATCCTCCCTTCTAGATTGTAAGCTCGAAAGAGCAGGGCCCTCAATCCCCTCATGTTTTGCATTGTATTGGTATTGTTCTGTCACATGTTCTGTTCCCCTCTGTAATGTACAGCACTGAGTGAACTATTGGCACTTTATAAATACTGTATAATAATAATAATAATTTAAAATAACCACCCCTCCACCTTTATCTGCAGCCCTTATCACCAAATCATTTCTGTTCAGAAGCGACTTAATCGCCTTGTCAGATGGGATCTGAGGGGATGTTTCACAGATAAGTCCTCTAAGACTAAGTACTAGTTCTTTAAACAAGCCTACATATGAATATGCCTGTGGAGGTGGATTATAGGTGGAGGCATTTCTAAGGTTAGAATGGTGTGAGTGACTGGCATTATTCTGCAAAATGGGGTTGTTAAAAAAGTACCTTTTTAAGGACAATTGTCTCGAGATTTTATGGATGTCCACATTTCTTTTAAACTTGTTCAGCTGCTTACTGGGGGCATATTTTAGGCCATTATCTAAGAGATTCAGTTCCTGTTGTGTGAGGGTAGTGTTACTTAGGTTAAAAATTCCTTTCCCAGTTTTTACCAGAGAGACCAGAAATTATTTTTAGAAAAGCTACGGCCCTTAGACATCAGCTAGCTCCCAATGTTATTAACCCGCCTGCAAACATATCCCTGTTCACTGATCTCAAAGGTTGCCATCCTTGTAATAGATGTATTATGTGTAAGTGTAATAACAAAAGGAAATCTAAAGTAACTACGTTTAATTCACAAAAAACAGGTAGATCTTACGACATTGAAAAGTTTGTTTCATGCAACAGCAAATACGTGGTCTAGCAGCGTAAGGGTTCATTTCAATTTCAATGGCCTTTAAATGACTCTCTAACATTTTCTGATGTTCTATTTGAATTTGGTGGAATCTCTCCCTCTGCTGTTGCTCAAAAACAAGTTGTTCTTGGTAAAGATTTCGTATGCGACATATAGTACATCCATATCGTATGTCGACTGGTGGAGTGGGAAAACCCAAATTGTTGTTGACATCTTCTGAACTTTGTAGTAAATTGGCATCAGTTGGTTTGGAACTTGAGGATGCTGACAGAAGATTGACTACCTCAATACAGGCATTACGTTGCTGTCTTGGAGAATGCCTGAAGTTGTAGCCATTCTTGTCAGATGGAGTGAAAGCTGGCTCAGAATAGGGTTTCTTACTCTGTGTGGTCATCTGCAAAAGAACAGATATTTATTATTTCAAAGTTGGCCCATCTCCTCCCCCTCTTGAAAACTCACCCAAGTCCATATTAAATCCAGCGCCTCATGGTCACCTCTAGGGAAAGACTGCCAAACCAGCATTGTATTCTGAAGGAGGGAGGAGTTCCTCCTGAC